GCAGCGCACGGCCATCTCCACCAACATCAAGGAGCGGCTGGACTTCTCCTGCGCGCTCTTTGGGCCAGACGGGGGGCTGGTCTCCAACGCCCCCCACATCCCTGTCCACCTGGGCGCCATGCAGGAAACTGTCCAGTTCCAGGTAGGAGGGTCCCTGTGGGTCTGGGGGGGAGCCCGGGAGTGAAGCACCCTCCCACGGACTCCCACCAGGACCTGCTTGTCTCTCCCTGGTGCAGATCCGCAACCTGGGTGAAGACCTGCGGGAGGGGGATGTCATCCTGAGCAACCACCCCTGTGCAGGGGGCAGCCACCTCCCCGACCTCACTGTCATCACCCCTGTGAGTCTCAGGCCTCCCTGGGTGGCATGACCCCTCCCCTGGGGCACCCTGACATGCAGGAGACCTCTCCTGGGGCAACCCAGTGTGCTGGACTCTCCCTGGGGCACCCTGGGATGCAAGACCCTCCTCTCAGGGTGCAGATAACCCTTCCTCCATGATACTGAGGTGCAGGACCCCCCCTACTGGGGTGCAGGACCCCTTCCTGGCTCCCCACTGAGTCCTGGTCTCCCCCCCAGGTGTTTTGGCCGGGTGTTCCCAAGCCTGTGTTCTTTGTGGCCAGCCGTGGGCACCACGCAGACATTGGGGGTATCACCCCTGGCTCCATGCCCCCCCACTCACGGACACTGCAGGAGGAGGGGGCTGTCTTCATCTCCTTCAAGTTGGTGAAGGATGGCATCTTCCAAGAGGAGGGTGGGTTCATGGGGACATAGGGAGTGACGTGGTGGGGATGACAAGGGTGGTTAGGACACTGGGGATATGGTGGCCACAGCAAGGATGTGCTGGGATAGCAGTGGGACTGGTAGGGATGTAGTGGGGATATGGTGGAGACATTGCGGGGACAGTGGGGATACACTGAGGACAAGGTGGGGATGCAGTGGAAATGGTAGGGTTGTAGGAACATGGTGGGAATGATAGGGATGTGCTGGGGATGGTGGGGAGACAGTGCGGATGGTGGGGATGGCCGAGGCATGGTGGGGATGGCAGGGATGCAGTGGGAACACAGTGCGGATAGCAGGGTCATGATGGGGACTTGGTAGATGGCAGGGTCACGGTGGGGACTCAGTAGGGATGTGGGGGACACAGTGGGGATGGCAGGGTCAGGGTGTGGCTGCCACTGTGGCTGTGGAGATGCAGGGAAGACATGGTGGGGGACACGGTGGGGATGCAGGCGGGATGTGGTGGGGATGCAGGGGGACACAGTGGGGATGCAGGGGGACACGGTGAGGATGCAGG